TAATTATACCAAAAGCTGCTCAAGTTCACATTAAAATATATTTATTTCAAACTTGCCAGCTTGTTTACAAAATAAGTTTCCGGTGCAACACTTTCCCCTAATAATACATCTTAGTGGGGTGCAACCTGATATCGAAAACCTTCCGGCAAAGTGTCAGATACCAACTTGAAAATTCAATCGACAATTTGAATAATTCGCCGTTGTTCGTCTAAATATTGATTCTATATCAAAGTTCTGATTACATGGCTACCATAGCTGCGCCACATCACAATAGCGCGCATAGGCGCTAGCAGTAGACCGCTTTATTGACGTTAAGTGCACTATGTGGTACCTTGGCGTAATCTGATGCAGAAAATGCTCTTTGACCAGAACGACGAATTTCGCGCGTTATCGATTGTTCCTCGAAACGAACCCTTTGTTCCGAGCAATCAGTTGAGAGGAAGCCATTATCGTCTGCAAAGACGGACGAAATTCAAGTGTTTGATGAAAACCCCTGAAAGAACCGATTGTTTGTAATTTTAGCCGTTTTTTTGCTGGAACTGCTGGAAATTGATATTTGGAATGTCCAATAATGAAAACTTTCACTCTTGGATGAATCTTTACTTTGTCTCGTGTTCTTAGTTTTACAGTATCTTGCGATGTATCCTTTTTTTATTGCACTTTATTCATACGTTGTAAGAAATAGTAATAATAACGATGTCCAAGTAATATTCACGGAAAATAAAGTAAAAGTGCAGTATAATGACCAAACCTTATTAACTGGAACAAAATTACTTTTTAAAAAATTACGTACTTACTTTTTTACAAAATTAATTTCTAATGTCAAGTTTTGAGGTTGAGAATACATGGTGGGGTCTCTAATCAATAAATTGACACTCCACATACACTTCTTATCAAACTGTATATATTTTAATATTATAAAGGTTTTTTGGCGGGCTGGTTCCAAATCTGAAATCAAGATTTAGAAATTCAAAATAGCAAATCTAATATAGCGGACCAAAATGCCAAAAGTGATTCGATTTTTATGAAACTTGATATATAAGGGTTTTGAAGGTGTTGATTCTAAATCCGAACTCAAAATTTAGAAATTCAAAATGGCGGAACCAATATGGCGGTCCAAAATGCGAAAAATGATTTGATTTTTATGAAACTTGATATATAAGGGTTTTTTGGTGGGCTGATTCCAAATTGGAAGTAAAAATTTAGAAATCAAAATAGCAAATCCAATATGGCGGATCAAAATGTGAAAAGTGATTTGATTTTTATGAAACTTGATATATGAGGGTTTTTGGGAAGACTGATTAAAAATCTGAAATCATAATTTAGAAATTCAAAATAGCAAATTCAATATGGCGGACCAAAATGCGAAAAGTGATTTGATTTTGATGAAACTTGATATATAAGGATTTTTGGGAGGGCTGATTCCAAATTTGAAATCAAAATTTAGAAATTCAAAATAGTAAATCCAATATGGCGGATCAAAATGCGAAAAGTGATTTGATTTTTATGAAACGTGGTATACAGGGTGTCTCAAAAGTCGGGGAGGAGCCGGAAATGGTGGGGCAGTTGAGACGATTCTGAACAACAATTTCCTTTGCAAAAATGTCGGATGGGGCTTCGTTAAAGAGATATTAAGCGAAAACCTCGACCAATTAGAGCGCGCGTAGACCGTTCGAGCGGCCGCGGTTGGCGAAGGCTACGCGCTAGGCGGCAGCGTCAAAGTCCTTCGATGCACATCGAGTCACTTGTTCGCGTACAAGCGCGGCCATCAGCGCGTAGCCTTCGCTACCGCGGCCGCTCGAACGGTCTACACGCGCTCTGATTGGTCGAGGTTTTCGCTTAATATCTCCTTAATGAAGACCCATTCGACATTTTTGCAAAGGAAATTGTTGTTCAGAATCGTCTCAGCTACCCCCCATTTCCAGCTCCTCCCCGACTTTTGGGACACCCTGTATAAGTGTTTTGTGGGGGGCTGATTTCAAATCTGAAATAGAAATTT